AGAAGACTCACAAATAACTTTGCCCACATTCTAAATAGCATTTGTGTCATGCCTGCCCCTGCTGATGTCATGCCTGCCTTTGCTGATGCCCCTGAACAGGCTCCTGAGGACCCTGAACAGGCTCCTGAGGACAGTACTGCAGCAGAAAGGCAAAGACTGGATCCTGTAGCAGTTCTCCCAGATTAGAGTCCATACTCCTAACCACTACACCAAACTGGCTCTCGATTCTGATTAAACATTTCTGTTTTGCACTTTCTGCAAAATGATAGTATGGTGGAAGCCCTTCTGACCTTCTCAGGCAGGCTATTCCATAAGGTTGGGAGCACATGAGCAAACATAAGAAGCCAACAGCAGACTGAGAGACCTTCACTCCGCCATTTGCACATATCTGAAAGAGAGCTTTTTGAACCATGGAAGAGAAAGGAAAAAATTAAGTTTTTAGCAATTTCTCTACAGTTAAAGATTACAGAATTTAGGAAGAATGAACCTCTCTCAATAGTGGCAGAGAGAGAACTGACAGATGGGTGCTCGTCTTTTCCCCTTTATTGCCTAAAAAGTGTGGGAAAGTGATGAGAAGAGGGATAAGCACATTGTAGGCAATTCAAGGAACTTTAGGCTGCAGTCACACAGGAGGTTTGGTGCGGTCCTGGTGCACCTCTAATAGGACCGGTTTAAACTGCTGCTGGAAGGGGTAACCAGACAGCACTCCCTAAAGTCTGCCGATCCTGCTCTGCAGCATCCATATTACCACTTCACATTCACATATACACTTGTGTGCAAAGCTCTACAGAGCAAAACAACAACAACCCACGACTGGAATGGAAGTGACTTTTCACACTTCCCATCTGGCATCTGTTCCAGGCAGGGGAGTTCAAGACATCCAGAAAACTGGAGTCGAAATGCAGGCATCCATAAAGACTGGATTTTCCCGGTGCCTAAATACTCTGGTTCCAACGCATGGCAATGTGGGGTGACAATGACTGGGCCACAGAAGGCTGATGTTGTTGAGTGATCGTGTTCTTTAAATCCACACACCTATACTTCTGAAAACTCCTCGTGTGACCACAGCCTTAGACTCTCTACGGCAGATGTATGGAGGCACTGCACAGAGACAATGATGATGAACTAATTAAAGAACAGCTGCTAAAAAAACTTTGTGAGATTTACCTATGAAATATACTGGGTTCGAGACACGTGTAGTGATCAGCTCATAGTTTATTAAGTGGTTTCAGCAGAACATAAGACAACCCTAGCAGGGCGGAAACCTTGCTTATAAGCCTGTAGTTTGACACACCCGTCACACACCCACTCCCAACAATAGGCTATTTACACAACATTGCATCCTAATTGGTGGCTGCCAGGATCCTGATGGTTTATTGTATTTCCTCCCCAAGCTCACCCTGTCTCTGGCAGCATCGTGTTGCAAGACAACAGGCTCAGTACATAATCCCCCCTAAGTTCCAAACCCCCTAACTGACATAGTCCTCAAGGTACGCTGGCTTGTGCCACTCTCTCTGCGAGTGCCGGGGCTCCTGCGGTGGTGGCGCCGGTACCCGGACCAAGCTCGGTGAAGGGAGGACCTCTCTGGAGTCCTGCGGGGCTGGACCTGAGGCCGGAGTTTCCGTCGCAGCTTGTGCGGGGGTCTCCGCTACATGGCACTCCGGCGGCACGCTGTTGTGAGGGGGGGCTTGCTCTCCATCGGAGGTGATGCAGGTTCTGGGCTGGCCTCCTCCTCCTCGGCAGTGGGCAGGCTGGGCTCCTCTGGCAGCAGGCGGCGGCGCGGCTGGTCAATGTGTCTTCATAAAAGCTGGCCCCATTCTGCAGAAACCTCATATGATGGATTCGGTTACTTGGGTCACCCTCGCCGGTACCCATGCCGGACCACTGACATAGTTCTGTACAAAGATGGGGTCACCTGGGAAAAACCCACGAGGGGCCTCCTGACTCACCGGGGATGGGTATGCCTCCGGGGTGTAGGTGGTCCAGCCTCATCATGGGGCGGCGGCCCATCAAGAGTTCAGTGGTGTCATGCCTGCCCCTGCTGATGTCATGCCTGCCTTTGCTGATGCCCCTGAACAGGCTCCTGAGGACCCTGAACAGGCTCCTGAGGACAGTACTGCAGCAGAAAGGCAAAGACTGGATCCTGTAGCTGAAAGCTATCTAAGTGGTGAGGAGGATAGAGCCTCCCAGGGAACACCTGCAAGGGATCAGTCTCTGCTGCAGCCCAGTAATTCATCATCAGACTCGCCTCCACCTGTAACCAGGCTCAGGAATGTAAGAAGACAACAGCTGAGAGAGCGAAGGCAGAATGCACGCATGCGTGCCAGAAGATCTCTTAGCCCTGATTACTGACAGGATCCTGTCCTCACTCCTGGCTAGCTAATGAGTTGATTAGCTAGCACTGTATATATGCAAGTCTTTTGCCAGCAGTCATTTGTGCTGGCAAACGTCGTTTGTTCAGGACCTGAATCCTTGCATCTCTGCTCCAGACCTTGTGGAATTCTTCTCGGCTTGATCCTCGGCTTTTGACCTTTGGCTTTGTTGACCCTGCGTTCATCTCTGACTCCTCTGGTATTGTTGTGATTTATGGACTTGAAACTTTGGTATGTCTGACCCTGCTTTTGGACTGTGATTTAAACCTGCTTGAACCTTGCTACCTGATTTGCCCGTCTTGACCTCGGACTGTTCCTGGACTTTTGCTTGCTTGTGTCACGCCCCCTGGTCCTGCCGTGACAATTTGCAGGATTTAGGGTTATTTTACCAACAAACTTGTCTAGGGCCCCGGTCACACGGGCCGGATATCGCAGGGGGGAGGCGTGGCTAATTGCCCTGGCGCAGTTTGATCCGCGATTACGCGATCTGATGTGCCGGCGGCACACCACGGGTCCTACCCTTGGTGCCGGCAGGTAACCAAGGGTGGCGATCACATGACGATCCTGCAGCATGGCAAAGAAACGGTGCAGCGTGATCACATAAGCAATGGCTAGGCGCCGCTGTCGTGACAAACAGGGTCATTTTTTTAAAAGCCGAAACGGCACTTTCGCTTTCCTCTTTGTGCGCATGCGCCGTTGGGTGCTTGTGCACATCTTGTGGAGACCTGGGGGAAAAAACCCTGTTTGCGAAGGGACATGGGCGGGCACCGGATGCCACCACCGGAAACGCGATCATACGCCAGCCCTTGCCCCGCGGTTTCCGGAAACTAGTACCTCGGAGGTACTAGTTTTTAACTCCGCATCTTCGGCGGGAAGCCTTGGGTTCTCCACGGGAGCTCTACGCTTCCCAGATGTTGCGGTGTGATCGCACCCAGTAAATCTGCCTATCTTTCATCTCTGTAGCGTGGCTAATGCTCCGTGTGACCACAGCCTGGGTTTCGTTACATGTTTCAATGTTGTGGGATAGACTTCAGAGTTCCTGGACTTGTCTGAGACAAACGAATATGCAGTCTATCAGGCAATGCTAAAAATGGTTAGCCAAATCCCGTTGTCTGTACCATCATCATTGTTTTGTTCTCTGTAGGTCGGATCATAAAAACTGCAAGTGGAAGGAACTCATGGAAGTGGATTTTCCTCCCTCTTCCTCCCAGCCTCATAAATCTGCCTGGAAGTCAGACCTGGGCCTTGATGTATGCAAATAAATACACAAATGGAGAGCTTGCTCTTCTATGCTTCCTATACCAGTAGAAATGGGAGGTGGGGGTGATTTTGCCCAATTCTCCCATTTTGCTACAGCCCCAGCCAAGTTTCAAAACCAGATGTAAACATGGCAGAGGTAAAAAATGGAAAGGAGCTATTGGCAGGGAAGAACTGGCAGGTTCAGGAAGGCAAAACACCCTCCCCTCCCAGTAGCACTCCCCTGTAAATGCTGAAAGCAGGTTTGGAGACACAGATTTGCCAAGTTCTGCCCTTAGTGTATGCTCGACAGCAAATGCAGGTTTGGTTATTAGAATGTTGAAACTAGTCTTTATTCTCACTGACTTTGGTGGAGCTAAACAGCCTGCTTCTGCCAAGCTGGTATGGAGTTACCAGACTACATACACTTGAATAGTCCCATGGAGGTCCACAGAGCCACGGAGGTCTAGTGAAAACCATTGAAAGAAAGCAGCTTTTATCTCTCTCCAGCATGTGTATCTGGTTTTTAGGAAGACCATATGTTTGCCCTGGTGTTAGAGGAAATGCAATGAAATCAACATAAGTTTAAGTCTGCATTAACACAGTAGTGTTATTAGCACCTGAGCACCTAGAGACCATTGAGCATCAGCACACAATTGCTTTTTTATGATTATTACAATGAAGATTTATCTTCTCTTAACTCTAACTATTCTCTGCAGAGGGCAACTCTCTTTTAATGGGTATCTACAGAAGCCTCGGGCTCTTGACAAGCATATTTATTACTCTCAATATTAGGATATTTTTCCATTTTGTGCCCATTTATGGCTTTCATAAAGTATCTGCCAGAATGCTGAAATCAGCTCAGGAAATAAACAAACTATTAGTGGTCTCCCAAGATGGGAAGATCTGAGATCTGGAAAGTTAAAATTACTTAGTTCGTGTTTTAATGCTGTAGTCTGAGGCACAATCCACCGTGCGCTCCTTTGCCAACATTCATCATGATTGTGCAGATGAAGGGCGTCGATGATTTGCATCTTGTATTTTCAGCAGAGTTTAATGACCTGTGTTATAGGTGGAGGGATGATGTGAAACTTGACTTGGATATCTGCAAAACGTTTCATATTAGGAAAGACTTGCGATCTGAGACACCAGAGAAGAACTTGACATTGGTGAGATCTTTGTTTCTAAGCACTGCATTGTTATTGGTTTTCAAGGATGTGGTAATGAGTTTGGGGGGGGGGAGGAACAGTGTGGAAGGGAGTTCCTCACTCCTTTCCCCTTCTCCCTGTCACTCTAACCCCTTCTTCTTTCTTCCTCCTACTGCTGCAGCTGCTTCCTCTGCTCAAAGTCCTTCTTTTTACCTGTGTCACTGTTATTGCAACTGGATGGGGAGGGGCTGTGGTTCAGTGGTAAAACATCTGTTTTGAATGCAGAAGGTCCCAGGTTCAATCCCTGGCATCTCCCTGGAGGACCACTGGAAAGCCACTCTCTGCCAGAGTCCTTAATAGACAAATAGCCTGACTTGGTATAAAGCAACTTCACACATTTGTGTGTGTCTGTGTGTGTTCTGCACCAGATCCCCTGCCCTGAAGTCCCAAATATTGTCAGGAAGGGCAGGAGGGTATACCTTACTGTGTGAATAGACACCATCCTATGGTCTTACTTCATCTTTTCCTGTACTTGGCTCAAAATGCTCCTCCAGACTGGGGAAAGCTCTCCACTCAGGTGGCTTCCCTGTCAACCCAGTAAATGATTTCAGGAATGGGGGAGAGAGCCCACAGAAGAGAAAAATTGGCTTTGAGAAATGAGAGGGTTCCTGAAACTTGTTCACTAAAGCTGCACCAGTAGATTCTTCAGATAACTTGCTCAGACCTGCACTAATGGTGGTATCAAAGCTGGAGCATGTAAGAGCAATCTTATCAACAAAATATCTTGCAAACTGGTTGCAGAAGGCCACAGAAAGAATATTGTCCTCTGGCATGGATCGTTGCTGTTGCATCTCTAAAATATACCCCTCAGCTGGCCAATATTGAGCATTTGCAATGATGGTGGGGTGGGGGAGATTCTTTTCCAGTGACTCTATTTTAAAATGAGCTCTTGAGCTATAGTCTGTAAGATTCAGACTGAATTTTCCTCTGTGTGTGCTCCTTAACACCAGATCTTCGACAGGAATTAAATCAAGGCACCACTGAGGTCTGTTGCCTGGTTGAACCAGTATGGAGGAGTAATTGTGAACCACCTGAACACAAATTTTATTTGATTGATCTACCAGGCTAGTGACAAGAATCCCCAGAATTTCCAGGAAGCCTAATTGGATTCCTCCTAACCAGTTCCCCAGTGCTGCAGACGTCTGAAGAGGCCAAGGTCAGAACACTAACCAAATAAATGTTCTGTGCACAATGATGGTCCCAGAAATGCCCTCCCCGACAGATCACTACCTCCTTGCTAAAAAAAGAAATGTGTTCCAGTAAATAGGGAGGGGCACTGACCAGTTGTTTTAATCCACTGGTTTGTCATGAAGTCTTGAGATGTCATTTTCAGTATAAATTTTGGGGTCCCAGGACCACTTGTTGACAGACACCAAAGCTCCTTCAGGCTGCTCAGTTAACAATTTCGTTGGGCAATACAGTGGATGGTACACCAACACAATTCCCATTTTATTCCAACACCATCACAACAAATACAATTTTTTTCCTTTCCCTTCCTTAGCGAAAGGAAAACATTTCTATGGGATCATTATGATGTGCAATGTGTGTTGAATGAGGTTTCTTGTGTTCCAAGGACCCTGGAGTCCTGTATCTCTTCACTGGTTCTGTTAGCGAGGGCCAGAACACCCAGTGTCACTGGGACAGAGAGTATGTTCTACCCTTACCTCAGATGCAACACTTTAAAGCCCTAAGTGCGGCATTTATATAGCTTCATAAAAACAGTTTTCTGGACAGAGGGCTAAGAAATAATTTAAATAAAGTGAATAACAACCATTCACAGAGAAAGTAAAGTCATGGGCAATGACTAAACTGAGATGTAATCCCAATGAAACAGAGGTGCTCCTGGGGAGGGGGAAGGTTTGACTCAGTAACTGGGATATCACATGTTCTAGATGGGGTTTCATTCCCTCTAAAGGAGCAGGTTCATAGCTCGTGGGTGCTCCTGCACCCAGTTCTCAAGTGTCAGTGGTGGCCAGGGTTGCTTTTCACTATCTTTGGCTTGTAAACCAGCTGAAGCCTTTCCTAGGTGGGAAAGGTCTTGCCATTGTGATGCGTGCTCTGGTAACATATAATTAGAGTACTGCAATGTTCTCTGTGTGGTACTGCCCTTGAAAACTTTCCAGAAGCTACACTTGGTATGGAATACTGTGGCCAGAATGTTGATTGGCGTGGGTTGTAGGGACATATCTCTCCAGTTTTGTTCCATCTGCAGTGGCTCCCAATCTGCTTCTGGGCTCAATTCAAAGTATGGGTATTGGCCTTTAAAGGCCTCTATGGCTTGGGGTCAGCATACCTGAAGGATTGCCTTTTCCCATAGGACCCTACCTGTCCACTCCAGTCCACTTTGGAGGCCTTGTTTTGGTGGAGGTAAATGGGTGGCAACCTGAGAAAGGACCTTCTTGATTGTGGTGCCGAAGCTTTGGAATGTCCTCCCCAGGAAGATTTGTCTGTCTCCCTCTATCATTGTCTTCTGCCAGTGGGTGAAGATTTACTCCCAGAAATTCTTATTGTCCCTCCCCCCTGGTTGTATTGTTATGTGTTTTTGTATGTCTGTACATTTTTATTGAATGGTTGAAATACTTTATGTGTGTGTATGTGTAGGTAGGTAGGTAGGTAGGTAGATAGATATGTATGTGTGTGTGTCTGTGTGTATAATCTTAAATGCTGTTTTAATGCTTTAATGTTCGCCGCCATGGGGACACTATTTGGGAGGAAAGGCGGCATAGAAGAGTTTTACATTAAATGAATAAAGCAATAAACCTGCTCTCCTGCTGCTTGTGACCAAGCAGTTGAGAAAGAAGCTTGCTTCTACCTATATAGTTCCCAGTCGTTATACAGGTCACCCAGTTTTGTCTCATAGCCAGGAATGGATTAGGATCAGCAGCTGGAGGCCCCAGAGCCATAGCCAGCATTCTAATGAGTATCAGATGGCCCACTAAGTTGCTTATGCAGAAGTAGGGTTGCCAGGTCTGGATGGGGAAATACCTGGAGATTTTGGGGGTGGAGCCTGGGGAGGGCAAGGTTTGGGAAGGGGAGGAACCTCAGCCAGATATAATCTCATGGAGTTAACCCTCTGAAGCAGCAGTCTTCTCCACAGGAACTGATCTCTATTGTCTGGAGATCAATTGTCATTGTGGGAGATCTCCAGACACCATATGGAGGTTGGCAACTCTAACTAGAACAGTGGTTCTCAACCTTCCAATGCTGCGACCCTTTAATACAGTTCCTCGTGGTGACCCCCAACCATAAAATTATTTTCGTTGCTATCATAAGACCATGGAAAATTTTGTGTTTTTCGATGGTCTTAGGCAACCCCTGTGAAAGGGTCGTTCGACCCCCAAAAGGGTCGCGACCCACAGGTTGAGAACCACTGACCTAGAGGCAAGAGAGCTATCTGGAAGATGTGGTAGTTGCCTATGAAGTTGTCCATTCTGGAGAACTTGTTACTGATCAAATAGGTAGAATAGAATGGGGAAAATGAATGCTTTGCAAAAATATCAAATTGGAGAGAGTATTCTCTGAGCAAAGTACTGAGGTGTTGCATTAACAGTGTAATTCTTAGCAGTAGATCAGAATCCAATCTCTTCTACATTTTGTGTAACTCAGTGGTGCCTGTCTCATGCCTGACTTATGCTCTTGGGAAGCACAGGGGTTCAAATGTGACCTACAGTTTGTGTGAAGAATGTTAAGAAGCTCTTGTCTTTCACATTCTTAAGAAATCATGTTTGAAGGAAGACCCTTAACTAAACCTTTGGAGGATGAAAATCGTTAAAGATCCATATCTCTCCAAGTTCTAATCCGTTTTGTAGTACTGACCTTTATTTATTCTATTTAGGCAGCTTCTCATCTCACATGTTACCTCAAACTGCTCTAGGTGACAAATAGCAAAAGTCCTCTTAAGCTTTATTGGGTGGCATGAAATATTGGGTGCTGTGAAATATTTCCAATACTGCAAATCAGTAAAATTTGTTTGATAACAGAGCCTTGTTTTGGGAGGGGCTGTGGCTCAGTGGTAGAGCATCTGCTTGGCATGCAGAAGGTTCCAAGCTCAATCCCTGGTTCCCCTTGCTTGAAAGCCAGTCGAATCCGACTCTAGGGTTGCGGTGCTCATCTCCGTTTCAAAGCCGAAGAGCCAGCACTGTCCGAAGACATTTCCGTGGTCATGTGGCCGGCATGAATAAACACCAAGGCGCACGGAACGCTGTTACCTTCCCACCAAAGTGGTACCTATTTATCTACTTGCAATTTCTTGCTTTCGAACTGCTAGGTTGGCAGGAGCTGGAACCAGAGACGGGAGCTCACTCCGTCATGCGGCACACTCGGGTCTCGAACTGCTGAACTACCGACCTTCCACAGCCTGCAGTTCAGCATCTTAACCACTTGAGCCACCGCAGCGCCTTCAATCCTTATCTTCAGTTAAAAGAACCAGGCAGTAAGTGATGTGAAAGGCCTCTGCCTGAGAGCCTAGAGAGCCGCTGCCAGTCTGAGTAGACAGTACTGACTTTGATGGACCAGGGGTCTGATTCAGCATGAGGCAGCTCCATGTGTTTCCATTTATGCGTGGAAAACACCTCACAGATATGCACACTAAAAATGAAATCTTGTTTCCTGTTTGAATCTATCTAGACCCACACAGTGGGACATATTAAAAATGACAGTTTTTAGAAATGTGTATATTTGATAGAACTCCACAAGATGAAACTTCGAACAAAGAAACAAGCTGAGCCTCTAAGAGATGAAAAAGATGCTACAAAAATCTTGGATTTCCATCCGTCTGTAAAAGGTTGGCTGCACGCAAGCACAGCCACAATTCGGATAGCATCCATGTGGAACAGGAAGAGGAAATTTATAGTGTAATCCAAAGTAGTTGCATCCTTCTAAACTCCTTGACTTCAGTGGTCTTAGAGAGGTGCGGCTATGCTTAGGATTGCACAGATAACCAAGCCGCACTCAGTTTTGCTTATGGAAACTGGGCTCCCTGCGCATTTACTAGCATTTTGGAGGATAAAAAGACAGGCTTGTAAGGACATGTCTTTTTTTCTCTTTCAAACACTCAGAGTGCAGGGCTTTGATTAATAAAACTGAGCATGGCTTGAAGGGTTAAGTCCCATCCCACGCAGCCCCAATGTGAATTACAGCAGTTTATGTGTACAATTTACTTTTTACAGACTGACATGATATTTGTCACATCTGTTTGTACCCTAAGTGTTATGGTGACGAATTGACCTACCCGCACAGTAGGGTCAGATTAATGTT